TAGAGACAATTGTTTATGAGTCATTGGCTCATACATCATAAATTGTGTCAATTCTTCATTATTATAACTGAGATATAAACTGTACACTGCAGTGCATTCATTCACTGAGTGTCAGTAGCGGCCTGATTTATCGACCGTTAATTTTTTACTCAAATACTATTACATGTAACACAATTATATGAACTAAATATCGATTTATCATCTCCAGCCTTGAAAAGTGGACGATGTACCGTAAGAAAAGTGGACGTTGCTATATAGTTTACATCCACTTTGTCAGAGAGCAGTAATGCACGGCAGCATTTTGCGGTTACAGGTTTTGAGCCGTCATGGTTTCTCTCAAGTTTCACTCTGCTATAAGTTTATTTTCTGTTCCTGTACGAAGATTGCATTAGGACTGAACTGAATTGAATTAGCGCAATCCAGAACTGAGGAGTGTAAGCGTGCAGGCAAGAAATAAAAAATGTTTTAGTGTAAGATAAAAATGGCGTCTCATATTATTTATATGAAAGTAGTAGTGATTTGTGTGATGAAAATGAATGCACAATTCCATTAAAAAAAAATTCTTAATTAAAGATAATGATAACACAAAATGTTTTTATATGTAGGCTTGCTATAATTTATATCTATTTATCATTTTATTATTCATAAATTCTCGGATAATTATTTAGAAGACGCCCCTCACCTTTAATTTTAATAAAATTATGCTCATTTGTTGTATTTTTGCATGAAACGAATAAGTAATAATTAACGAAAATTCCATCGAAGTTTTTATGATTCCAAGGGTATTGTGCACAAAGAATTCGTTCCAGCAGGCCAAACAGTTAATGCTGTATTCTATGTAAGCGTTTTGAAGCGTTTGGTGCACCGCATTCGTCGTATTCGGCCAGAATATCGCGAAGGAGGAAGTTGGCGCTTGTTACACGATAATGCGCCATCTCACCGTTCGACACTTGTCACTGATTTTTTGACTAAAAATCACATTTTAACAATCAACCATTCCCCGTATTCGCCTGATATGGCACCTTGTGACTTCTACCTATTCGGCAAAATGCATTTGTTCATGAAAGGAAAGCGGTATGTGGACGTAGAAGACATCCAAAGGGCTTGTACCACTATTCTGAAGGACGTGCTTTTGAACGACATAAAACACTCATTTGAAATGCTTTTAGATCGTGCCAAACGTTGTATTGAGTCCGACGGGGACTACTTTGAATAAACAATTTGAATTTGAAAAAAAAAGTAAACCGTTGTTGTTTTATTTCAAAAGTTCGGAAAATTTTGGGACGCACCTTGTAGGCATAACATTTTACTGTCTTTCGTTTCATGCAAAAACGCGCCGAATGAGCATAATTTCACTAAAATTGAAGGTGTCTTCTAAATAATTACCAATTCTCGCATTGTATTTGTACAAAGTCTGTTTTCTGTGACTGAACAAGTGTACGCTAGTGCTTGTACTGCTTGCACTGACTCCAGACCTAGTGTAACTACAGTACAGAACTCGTGCACTAAGTTCTGTTGCACTGAAACAAAAAACACCGTCGCTGACGCCATTTTGAGAAAACAAATCTTATGTCTATGGCTTTGAGTTCAGGAAATTGGCGCGACCAAGCACGAAAGCAACCAAAATAAACACATACATATACATTCATAGGGCAAGGTGAAAAGTTCTCGGCCTAACCCATAGATGGTACTGCTACAAATAAATGTATTTTTAAAGTAAAAAACTTATTCTTTCATTTCTAGGCCGAGAAAGTAAAAATATACTTACATATTTGTATCATTTCGTATACTAGGCGAATAAAAAGAACATGGAACAGTTAGCAGAAGGAACAAAGGCCAAGTTTCGCTTATTTAATTACAACACGCGAATCTCGCATGTCAATTTCCGCCGCTCTTTCAGCAGATTCATTCTGCACGTCGTTATCGCTCCCACGACTCTTTTGTCCTGCGGCTCTTTGATCCAGCTTTTATGATCAGTAAATCATCGATCAGAGATCGAGTTTGGACATTTTTAGCAACGAACGGAAGAAATCGCGTGGAAAATCGGCAAAAGCATTCATTCTAATCAATTCCAATGTTGATCCCGGTACCGAACACTTCGAACGCGTATCGCATCTCCGAAACACTTGTTCGACCAGTTACGATTGCGACTTTTACGTTTTTCTCTGTCCTACCTTACGTCACAATTACGTCTCGTTATGTCTCGTTACATCTCGTTCTCTGCCACAGCCCTACCTGAACGTTGCTATACAGAGTAGCTCAATGTGTTTATCCAGGTGTAGCTCAGCGTGGCTTAGGGTTGCTCTGTTCGGATCAGTTTCGATCCCAAAGCGATACCATGAGTCAGAGCATTTGCTTCCCAACGTTAGCACAGAGCAACACAGTGGCCTGTATTCAAAATACTCACAACGATGTTAGCGCAACATGCTAATTTACGTTACGCATTCTATAGAATTTCAGAGATAAAAGCGCGTTCTGAATACAGTGACTCGCTCAAGACTCGCTGTATGATCGTATTATGTATGTGCGCAAATTACTATACTATTATTCACCGAGTTATTGTATATATATATATATATATATATTATATTCGTATGAGTTGTAAGAGATGTAAGTGATATACATTTGGATGTCCGATGTAATAAACGCCTAGAATGCTTGAGTTGTACTATATAATATATCATAAACAAATATTATTTCAATCGATTTATCGTATGTACTTATGGTGTCAATTGATTCCTTAATACATCACGGAAAACTGCGATGCGAGCATGCGCTGTGGTCACGTTTTCATGACATTTTCATGTTTTAGGACTATGTTCCAAACTTCTTCTCCGAGGAAGATTTTACTTTATATACTATAGTATACGCGTACTATATATTTCAAATAAAATTTTCCTCGGAGAGGAAGTTTTGGAATATAGCTTAGAAATACTATCCTCACACTCCGAATTCTAAATGGATTTTCACTGCCTCTAAAAAGATTTCTCACATCCCACTATCCCTATGAGTTAGAAATATTTCAAGCGGACACTGTCTAGGCTGCAACTTCTAGGCGGTTAGGCCCCAAGCGGGTAGGATATGTAATTTTTTTTTGTTCGGGACGGCTATGAACTTAACTCAGATCGGTTAACCTGAAAATAGAAATGACATCAGAAACCAAAGTAGAGCATATGATATTAATCCGATCTAAGTTAAGGTCAAACCTATTGTATTTGAAAGTAAGGGAAAAAGATAATAAAGATTAGATAAATCAAATAAATTTCAGACACACTACAGATGTCTATCTGTATTTATAAAAAATATCGATGTCCAAAGATATTGATTTATACATATGAAACATCCTAACATATGAACAGCATCCTAATAAGACATGTGAATAAAAATAAATAAAGAATTTTACAATTAACAGTTTATATACTCTGTATTATTTATATAACGAATAATATATTATAAAGATTCAATCAATATGAGAAAAGCCAGTATAAGTACACCTTATATAAGTATTCTACAGCATTATATTCTACATAACATAAAAGATCTATCTCTGTAACATTCATATATTAAATCTCTAATACACATGCAATTTATATCAACTTCATCAGATCAATTGAATTGACTTTGCAGCATATTTCTATAAGGAATAATATTTACAGGTAAGAGAGTATTTAGATTTTATTTGGAAATTAATGTCATAGCTTGCGGAATTAATTTATTACACGCGATGTCGAAAAGCGTGTACACGCGATGCATTTTAAGTTTAAAACGCTTTCATGTCTATAAAACCAGGTTATCCAAAATCATCGCTTCTTTTTAATTTGATTTAAACGCGTGTTTTATATACTACGCAAGGAGTGCGTTTAGGAATTACACCTAACTAACTCAAGTGTGCACTTTTGCTGTAATATACGCAATGTAAACCATAGCCTAAAATTATCTGGTTTCCTGAACGCATTCCAGTATGCTTGCTTAAGAGGATCCTAAAGTCGTCTGTATTACTGACTAAAGCCATATAATTTTTGTATAACAATTACTTTTCCCTCTTTTGTAAATTTGAAAATCCTTTTCAAGGATTAAAGTATATGCATTAATACACATATGTGTCTGCGAGGTGGAGTTTATGCCGAGAACGGCAAAACATTTCGAAATTGAAATCTTTACCACTTCTTAATCCAATATAGCGCTGAAGAGCTGTCACATCGTAACAACATTTGCTTCATGTAAAAGCTGTGCAATCCGTACTTACGAAATAGCAGTCGGACTAGTAATTCGCATGAAGAAACAGCGTGGAGTTCTTAAAATTGGACTTAGACGTCTAATTAAAACATAATTGTTATATGAAAATTTATGTGTATATATAGCATGCATAGGTGAGATATTGATATGATGTACCAATGATCTAGTTTCCACTGAGGGTTTAAACCGAATCAGAATGTAAGAACCAATCAACTACAGTCGAGTATTCCACTGTTACAATCGAACGACAGGGGAATGCTCGACTGCAGTTAGTTGGTTCTTACATTTTGATCGGTTTAAATCCTCGGTGGAAACTAGGCCACTGACACGTAAGTCACCTGTTGTGTGTAAGTGCTATTTACTATATGACTAATCGTTTCTAGGATCCCCTTAAAATCGATTTAATTATTATATACGGTGATAATTACATCACGATATTTGCGTACTATTACAAAAATGAGATATTAATTTATTTTTTTCAAAAACAGTAGACGGGAAAAGTTAGATAAAATTTTAATTCAGTTCTTTAATTACGTTTTTAGAAAAAATATTTTACTGCGTATTATTTTATTGCGTATTTATAAAATTAGTAATCGTTTTCAAAATATTTCCAACAAAAATTAAATAAATTCATTTTTTTTAATTCGCATAATGACGCTAAATTTTTTTTCTATCATTGAATATCACATTGTGAACAATTTTATTGTGACAAATGAAGAAAAGTACAATAGATCAAAAACGGGAATATACTGAAATCGTAATAGCACATGGTTCGTAGCTTTGAACGTAACAAATTAATTCTTATTTCGAAACCATAAAATTTAGGATCTCATCCCACAGAACGTATCATCCACATAGACATCCATAGTTCTATCAAGAGTTTCATGCAGCATTTAGTTCTGGAACTGCTGGAAGTCAATTAGAGATTCATGATAGATGATCCACGATGAATGTCTATTAGACATCTATTATAGTACATGGTGTCGCCACGAGATGGACACTGTTTCTCGTAAGAAGAAAATGCCACGGACTTCTATAAGAAGTCATATGTAAATTAAGTAAGTTCCTCATATTTTACAACAGTGTTCGGAATTAATTGCTCATCGGGCAGATTCCTGAGGCGACCCTCTCACTACCACTCGAGACTCGGCGGCCGAGCCCACGTGACGCTGTGCCCCAGGAGCGTCGCGATATAAAAAGTATGCTGGGAGCATATTTTCCGGTAAATCTCATTAAAATATTTTCTTTCCTATATGATTTTTTTTATTTTAATATTTAAATTTTTTATTATTAACATATTATGTATATATTCTACAATAATATAATAAGCAATAATATAGTAAGCAATTATTATAATACTGTAATTACCGGTGTAATTACAGTATTAATTATTATTCTTTGTTTGAACATAATTGTTCTTCCGTTCATAATTTCCTACAATCATATCTAAATGCATTCGCATTGCTACAAATTTGGTAGTATTATACATATAAATGTTTTATAATTTGATGCTACCTATTCTCGTCACCAACCGAAGAATTGGTTTACAAGAATTTTACATTATGGAAATCAAGTACATCATGACTATCTATTGACATTGTAAAGGAACACTATGACATCTGCGTTATATATATATATATATATATTAGGTGTTGGAATTAATTCGTAGCGTTTTACAAGTGATGGGAAGTACTTTCATTAATGTATTTTTTAATGCTCATGTGAAATAAATAACATTCTTTCATTAAAAAACGCTACGAATTAATTCCAACACCTAATATATATATATATGAGATGAGATCCTTCATATTAAACTAATTAAGAAAAATTTTTGTATGTGTTGAGGAGGGCTAAATCAAGTCCAAACATATGTGCATATAAGTGGAATAATAGAATAAAATAAATTAATCAGTCGTTATCTTGTATGCTCGTTTTTAAAATCTATCGATCTTGTAGTTGTTTTACTATTGCTATGCAATCTCACGAGTGTGTTAAAATTTAACAGTTTAATATTTTGTTTACAGATTTTTTATTAAATCGAATATGTGCTGTTTTGATCGATAACCTTTTGCTATTTTTCGAGCCATTATTCCATTGGAATAGAACTTTTATGATTTCTCGATAAAAAACCGAGATAAATGATTTTGAAGACAAGTTTACTCCATTAAGGGAGTTCTGTAAAGACCGAAACAATTGGACGGTCAAAACTATACGATGAATGCATCAAAAAATTTGGCTTCCCAGCCAAGTTCTCTCAATTTTTGTCGAGTCATCAAAGACGTGTATGCCCTAGCGTTGCATGATGGAAAGCAATGCCTTTTCTATTGATCAATTCTGGTCGCTTTTCCCGAATGGATTGTTTCAATCGCATTAATTGTTGACAGTACAGATCAGAATCAATTGTTTTGCCTAGCGGCAGCAGTTCATAATGAACAACTCCTTTCCAGTCCCACCAATCACAGTATCAGCTTTCTTTCTCAGCATCAATCTGAGCTTTGTGATGGTTGTGGTGCCTCACTTCGTTTTGACCACGATCTCTTTCGAACATTATTATCATATGTTATCCATTTTTCATCGGCCGTTATCAACCTTTTCAGAAAAAGCTTAATTTCATTTCGTTTTAGCAGCGATTTGCAAATGGACATTTGATCCATTAAATTTTTTATCGTCAAATCATGTGGTACCCAAACATCGATTCTTTGTGTATCCATAGCTTCTCTTACGCAAGTGTTTTAAAATGGTTTTATAATCAAATGTTTAGCTCCTTAGCTATGTATAATATATCATAGTTGCTCACATGACGGTTTTCTTCAATTTTTTAGATTTCATCGACATTTTTACAATAAAACAACTAAAATAATGTGCATCTTTGCAGTGGCACGTAAAAAATCGACCAGATCTCTATCTGTCGGTTATATGTAAAAAGACTTTTTCTCTAACCTGATATTTGCAACAATGTTTTTATTAAAAGCAATTTACGGAACGTTATAAATAAAAAATAAAAAAATGTTGCTTTATCTCTAAATAATATTTCTTTTTTCATTTTTGTATTATAATCATTAATGTTATGAAAGAAGATAAATGTAAAATATATTATAAGATAAATTTTCCGCATGAATTAACAAACAAGTCCAAAGGTTTTCAATTTTTTTTTTAAATTGGTCCTCAAAATATTAATCAAAGCCAAAAATTTTATTCGTATACCAATTACATGTTTGGAGAAAATTTATTACAATTAACAGTTTGAAGATAAAAAGTATTTCCTGAAAAAATATATGTTTAGCTTTTTAAACTTGATTGTGAGAAACTTTTCATATTCATTAAATGTAAAAAATACGAAACTTTACAAAATTAAAAAGTATAGGTCATCTACTATCGTGCACTCGTGTTTATTATTAGAGTCCAATAAATAGGAGTAATAAAAAGTTTCTCTCCATCGATCAATGAGTGCGTGTTTGATAAGAATGCGTACTGGGAAGATTTACGAGTGGGATCTCATATATGTTAGTTGATTTATATACACACATACACACATACACACACACACACACACACACACACACACACATATATATATATTGAGTTACATATAATCGCAATATTTTTAACATGTTTATTCCTTCGAGGTTTCAGAGCAATTTATTAGATTTTATGTAACTTTGGATGCTAGCATCCATCAATTGTACAAAACTCACTTGGCAAATATAAATAAATGTAAATCGCATATGTTAATTTTAAATTTTTCTGAAGATCTCGCTACTTTCTACGTTCGTTGGATATACATTAGGATGTTTGTTAAATTAATCATAAGGCAGAACTACAAACATCACACACACACACACACACACACACACACACACACACGTATATATATATATATATATATATATATATATTATATATATATATACACACACCTTAGAGTCTTCTTCAATCCTCATTTCCATAAAGAAAATTTTAAACAATCTCGCTTTCATAATGAGACCTTGAGAACTTTATACGCCATCATCAACTTTATCAAGTCATTAAGCAACGATGATGCATCGTCGATGATAATAACACATAGAAATCGATACAGAAAAGAATCAGTCTTCTCAAAGATATTAAATCGGATATCTAGTGTTCTACATAGGTCGCTGTTTGTTGTTATCGCGAACATTCCACATTGTCATCGACAGCTCCTCGTGGGGATTCCCGTCAAACACACGATCCTCAGGCACGGTCGAACCCCTGGGAAACCTGAGGACTTTCAAATCGGGGAACCACTTAAAAAATCTCCACCATTTCTTATCAGAACTATCTATATTGGGTATTTTTACGTGCACGTTTTTATACTTTGTTTTCTTTATCCACGAAGCTTCTTGATTCCTACGAATTGACCGATTCTTGTGATGCCCGCTAGTTAGTAACCGCGGATTATTCTTCTTCGGCAGAATATCATTGTTGTTCTTCGTCTCTTTAGCGTGTTCGCTCCGTATCGAGTTTGTCCGAGTTGCATCCAGAACTCTGGTAGATATCGGTAAATTTTCTGGATTATTTATAGATTGTTGTTGACCCTCTTTCAATGAATTCCTCGAACCTTCCATGCTGTCCGCAATTATATCAGATTCTCCATTGACTTCCGCTATTCTTGATCCGTAAGCACCGATGGTCCTTTGTTGGGATCGCGATAAGCTAGAATAGGATCGTTGCTCGTTACGTGCTGGCAATCCAGCGAGTCTGAAGCTCTTCGATAATGTCTCCTGGAATGAACCAAACTGAATTCATTTAAAATGGATAAAATAAATCTTCTTTAAAAACAAAATGCGCCAATATATAGCGATAAATAGCGATAATTAAAAAGAAAAAAAAGTTATTAAAAAATTATGGATTTAATCCTTCGGTCATGTATGCAATACCTAAATTTTCTTTTACTTTATACAATATATGTTATAACCTTTTCATACATGAACGTATATTTGCTTGTTATCGTTAAATTCTTCTTACTTTCTAAAATTTTTAGAGTGAATTATTCCGAAAAGTAAAATCTCATTTTTAAAGATTGAAAATTTAGCAATTGTTTTTTAAAAATTGGCTGTTTCGAACTAAACTCATGAGTTTATGTTCATTATATTCCGATTTGTTTATTTATTACAATTAGATATTCTGTATTCGTTATCGATTTTTGTTAAATGATTTAAATGCATTACGTTCGATTTTTGCTTATTACCGTCGCGATATCGTAACTTTCGGAATTTGCGAATTTTTTTAGCTGATCTGTTGATTTCGAAGCTCGCTATATAACACATTCGCGACTTTGGGTGCCTTCCTTTTAATTACACAAGTCAACACAAATGTCATTCTATCTTTTTTTGCATTCGATAAGTAATAAAGATAGAACGATACTTATATCAACTTGTGTCATTAAAAGACACCTAATGGACCTAATGAAAGGCACTCTTCGTCTATTGTTCTTAACGACGCAACACAAAAGTTACTTCTCGGTATTGCTATATTTTCGTGTAACGACTTTGATATTCTCTGAATAGATATATAGCAATTGCACACGAGTCAGTTGCGCACAAACCAATCTCAGCACTAGAAGAAAAATGAAAAATCTACGTAGAACGACTCAACGCAGAAATTTCTGTGTGTGTGTTGGGCAATTGCAACAGTGTGCAAGTGAACTCTCTAAATGAAGCTTACGAGCATATCTCTATACATCTCTATTCTCTACATTTTAAACTTTGATTGCGTTTTCAAATAATTTTGACGTTATTAATGAATCCATGGATTCCGTACAATCTTCTTGCAATTAATATAACTGGCTCAATTTTTATTCTTTAGAATGAAATTTTATTCCAAAGAATTTAAAGTGTAATGTCTAGCGTTTCAATTGAAAAAAATTTGTTATAATATATTCATGATATTTTTACACAATAATATGTCGCATACGTGACAAAACATATAATATGATATAAGAAGAGTTAAGATTTTTCGAAATTATTGTATTTATGCTGTATAATATATTTCAATATGTTCTCCTTCAATATACCAATAATTTTTTTCCATGGAAAATGGTGGTAGTATAGTGAAGGAGAATGTTTTTTCTCTAATGGAAAAATTTCGCTGAAACATTATTCCATATTTGGAACACTTTGCAGCGAAATTTCAGCATTTCGGAAAAATTTCAGTTTAATTTCAGCAATTTTTAGCTAAAAAATTCATTTTCAGCAAAATTTCATAGAAATTTCAGCAAAAATTTCAGAAGAAATTTCTGCAAATTTTCAGCAATTTCATTGAAATACTATATTTGCCGAAAACGAATAATTTAGAATAATTTCATCCTAATTTTTAAATTTTTTCCCTAGGGTTTGAAAATATTGTAGATATGATATACATTTTATACAAAAAACTTTATTTGTATTTAAATTTAAAGGAGTTATTACGTAATTTTTAACTTTATCTAAAAGACTAGAAAAGGGATTCTTGTTTTGCTTACCATAAACGCTATGCGAAATTTGTTCGACATAATATTGTAAAGGATTGGATTAATCGTTGTGGACACGTAATAGAATACGCCTGACACATAAGTCATTAGAAGATAAAGAAACTCCATCCATGGACCATTCGATGTAATGTGGTCTTCTTTATTAGTGCCATATATAGCGATCAATCGTTGCACGTGAAATGGGGCCCAACAAATGAAGAACGCTATCACAACAGCAACTGCAACAAATGTTCGAATGTAATATTTGGATGGAAATGCTTAATTATACTAGTCTGTAAATTGAAATTTTGGAGTTATTGACTGCATGCGAAGTTTAGCATAAAGTGCTGAAAATCCAGACAGGACCCTGATAATGAGATCTTTATAATATTTTAATGATTCTATTAGTATATTCAAATTGACAATTAATTTAATTTGTGATATTACTAGGATTGCTTTTTTACTTTTGCATTACATAACTTTTTCTCTTGTTTTCGCCAAATATCAAACATGTTTCCGCAAACTACATAACAATTACACATTATCAATAATAATTGTAACTTCCTATTCAATAATGTAACAATGTTATGTACAACATGTGTTCATCTTTACATTTATATGAGGAAAATTATAATATTATTGTTAATTTGTGTTCTGCAGGCACCTTGTAGGTATTGCAATTTTGTTAAAATTTCTTATATGACAGTAATAAATGCATTTAATTTTCAGATTCAAACTGACATTTAAATGACGACAAGCAACTAGGATTAATGACACATTGAATGAAGTATCGGAAATGTGCAAAGGCGTTCAGTAGAGAAGTGTCTAAAAGATTCACTGCTTTCATACGTACTATAAATATGCACTAAATACAATCAGCAAATGCCATATTAATATTTTACTGTTAATGACGGATAAAAGTAGATGGCATTGGATTTAATTTTATTAATTTGTTTTTAAGAGATTTTAAAAATCTTTTACATAGATCAGAGTGATAAACAAACGTAGAATAATACATTCCAAACATTATATCAAAAGATTAATTATAACTTTTATTAAAAATTGTATCTGTTAAATTATAATTGCAAATGAAATTTGTGTTAATAAAATTCAAATCAGTCAATTATTGCTGTATTTCGCAATACAGTTTTTCCAATGAAAATCACTAACGTAAGCTATGCTGTAACACTTTGAACTTCTATTTAAGTATAATACATTGTTATTAAAGCGTGTCGCAGAATGATCGATGTGTTTTTCATCAATTAATGGATTATGCAGTTTTATGAACCGAAATGCGGTTTTTTCTTATGAGATTATACTGATATTTTATAATTCAATTTTCCGATGAGCAAAAATTCATGAAAAATAATTAAAAATAATTAAAATCCTAAATAATTAAAATCCTTTTTGACATTATAATATTTTATAATATCCTTAACATTATTTATTTATGCCTCGGCACTTTTTTGTGCCACATTAAATCGTTCAGTGTATCGCCATTGTGTACGTGTAAATCGATTTAAAAACAAAACAATATCCACAACAATGAAAATATTGTTATATTGTTATATTCTAAAATATTGTTATATTCTAGAATATTCTAGAATAGATTTAGAATTTATAATTTAGAATTATTAGGTTGTCGCTTTCCGACATTCGGTTTTTTTAAGCGTTTTTATAAAGTACTTTGTTGAAAGCGCGTTTTGTTCTCTTGTATAAGTTTATAAATATATATATAGATCAACACATTTTTTTGTATCCCCAAAATCAATTTGCAATTGTGTCAGAAGATATTTTTTTTTTAATGTTGCACTACAGTATTAATTATACTGTAGATTTATAAGTGTCAAAAGTTACGCAATACGTATAAGTGTCAAAAGTTATGCAATACGTTTGCTTGGTCAAATTAATACAATTTAGTACTAATTAAAATTATTTTTTATTTAAACAAATAATTTTGCAAATTTGATTTCTTGTAATTAACTATCTAAAAACGCATATCTTGTATTCAACTGTTTATTAGATATTATTATTTTGTTTTTAACTAATAAGAGAATGGAAATTGAAAGAGTAATAATTGCTTTTAAAACCGCCTATAGATAAAAATGGAAAGACACGAGTAAAATATTGTTCATAATTCTGTGAAAAATGTGTACCGAAATTAAAAGAAATCGGAGAATTACACTTAGGTTATACGTTTACTTGTTATAGGTTTACTAATGCCTGATAATTTCTACATGCAGTTTAAATACATCTTTCCAGTTCTCGAAATTTCGATTATTGTCGGAATCTAATGCAATCATAGACTGAAATAATAATCTCCCAATTTTTAAATTGACTTTCGTCAGTTTCGATGATAATGTTAATAACACAAAAATTTAAGAAACATGATATTATTAATTTTTTAACATTGATAATTATTTCCAAAAAATTAAAATAATTTGAGGTGAATAACGTTCAAATTTCATGCTAAAAATAATATGAAATTAGTTATGCGATAATTTTATTTAATAGTTGATAATTTTAAACTTCCTGAATTTTTGAAAATTCCGCGCATGCGCGCAAATTTACATTTTAAGAATCCTTAAAAATTTCTAGACATATTTCTTAATGATTAAAATATCATTGATTTTTTCATAATTTTTTGTAGATTAGAAAAAATTATAACAAGAAAATATATTTTTGATCGCAATAGTAAGGATAGAAAGTCAACAAGATGGAACGCGTACAGTTAAAATTAAAATTAATAGTTAAAGTAAAAGTAAAATTAATAGTAAAATTTGATGAAATTTTTTTTTCATAAAAACCTAATTGATATATAGCAAGTCTAATTTGATATGGAGGCATTTTTTATATATATATTCTGCTACATTCTTTATAATATCTATACTCTAAGAATAAGGAAATTGGATGATTATCAAGAGAAGTTATAAATCTCAGACCGTCATGTAGGCATCACAGCCCGAAAAAAAATGTTTCATGCACGAATATATGTATACTGAGAAAACAAAGTTGTTAACTTGACTAAATGCGTTTATTTATGATTATTTAATTCAAATATTTATGTACTTAGATTAACAAAATCTTGTAATTTAAAATATGTTATTTGTTTGAATTAATAAATATTTGCTTGACTATGATTGCTACATTTAGTTGAATCAACTAATATTTTTTAGAAACAGCAACTTTTTTCTTAATGTATATAATTATATTTAAACATACATTATACATAAGTATGTATAAAAATTCATAAATATACATAATTATACATATATATTCGTGTATAAAAAATTATTTACCAGATGGTTTTGTATTTATACTTAATTCTTGTTTGTAAATACATGGATTAATTTTTAAAAACAAATAAAAAAAGTATTAACACAATCCTTGTTAATCCTTGTATATTTTCTTAAAAATTAATTAAATAATTTTATTTAATATAATTATAGCTCGAAATAAGCCATGACATTGTATTAATTTTTAAGAAAATATACAAGGATTTTTTTTACTTCATTAAAAAAAAAATATTCATATCTCTTCAAGAAAGGAAACATCTCTTACAGTTTCTGGATTTTCCCGAGCTACATATTTTGCTTTGCAAATAATGTTTAGGACTTTGAACTATTTGATTACCACACGAAAAAAAATCTTTATGCAATAAAGCACTTATACGTAATTAATCTTATCAGGTGTTATTATAATATATTTTTCTACTGCTGTTTATTATTTCATGCAAGTATTATTATAACCGATCGTTTAATTATAGCATTATGCAACTTTGCAATAGGTTTTCCTCTTCTGTTTTATTTGTAGCTCTTACAATTGACAGAATACACAAAATGAGAGAGCAAATATAAACGTTGTATACCACATTAATGTATAAAAAGATTAAAAATTAAAATAAAATATTTTTTCCACACACACACACACACACACACACACACGCGCGCGCGCGCGCGCGCGCATACATAATATAGTAAGTGATACGTTTTATGAAAGAAATTGTAAATATAATAATAGATTTTGTAGATTTTGTGATGTAAAATAACAAATTTTGTAAAAATATAATAATAAATTTCATAAAAATAAAATAATAAATTTTACAAAAATATTTTTAATTTTATTTTTAGAAAAAGAAGGGAACAAAATATATCTCTCTACACTCTAAATAATTATAATGAGAGTAATCTTTTTAGACAACGCCATCTTATCTTTTTAAATCTTATCTTCATAAATTTAATTATGTAATTTCAAATATTTCAATTTTTCCCATTCCCTCTTATATCAAGTCACAAACTTGCTACATTTTTGCTAAAGTTATTGAAACGTCATTAATTGTTAATATCTCATATTTAACAATATAAATTATTTTTCATTCACATTTGTTTATTTTCAGATTATTACTACTTTTCTCTATTTTATATTTTTAATCCTAATTTAACAACAAAATATTTCGTATTTTAATAATAAAAGTGTAGTGTATCTATATACATATATGGACGATAGATTTTAAATATTTTAGCGTTGTCCGATATATTAGGAAACAAGAAAAATTTGATGCGTTATGTACAGAAAGCAGGAAGATATCTTTCAATACGATCAATTTTCGATTTGTTCGATTTGCTCTCACGCTTATTTATTAGGGAAAAAGATTATGGATGTGTAGTAAATGTTCGAAATCAATGCACTTATATAATTTATAAGTAACTTATATCATTTATAAGTACGTACGCTCTTATTTTTGGTTAAATCCGTTATTGCTTAATGTAGAATTTAATGTAAAATCTTAACGGAAATAACTAAAATTTACAGAAAGAGAAAGTTTAGCAATTATTACTATTAATGCTACAAGGACATTAAGTACATCATAATGAAACATGTGCATAATGAAACATGTATTGAAGAGCTGACCTTATAAAATTTGTATGAATAAAATTTATATTATCAACACAAATGTGTTCAAGTTATACTAAAGGTGATGGCTGCACGGTATTATTCATCGAACTAACTTTGAACATAACTTTTATTATGAAAAATTTGTTAATTAAATTATTGTGTTAAATAATATTTTATAAAACAGTGAAAATAGAACATATAAATTCTTTTCAAACATTGATTCGAGAAAAATAGTACAGATTGCTATGTGTGTATAATTATTTAACTTTATACATATATATTGTATTTTATTTATACTGTATAATTATATAATTTTATATATGAGTTTGATCTTCTTGTGTAAAATGAAATAAATAATAATCGAAATAGACGATGAAAAACTTATTTGCATAATACGAAATTAATGAGCAATATCTCTGTGAAGAAAACAGGTTTGATTCTTTGCTGCGTCATATGTAATATTCCTGCTTATAACGTACAACATGAAATAAAAAACAAAATAAATATATTAATTCATATTTAGTTTGATTAAAAATTTTATAGAAATCTTATTGACTATTACTTTTATTATTTATCACGATGTTTTTAATGCACGATACTTTGAATTCGGCGTGATTTGCAGAATTTTGTTCGAGCATATTGTCAGCTACATTAAATGTAAACTGCTATTGATCAAACCACAAAATGCATTACAATTATTCGCAGATAGAACTCGTATAAATATATTTACGTTGTCATAGATTATATGACATGTTATTTATATTGTAATTTTATGCGAGTTTTATTAAAACGTTACTTAATGGCTAATGATGATAAAGTGATTCATAATATTGTGAAATAATCGAAGGCATTGTAATTATATCTGTTATCTTTTCTATTTTTATCGATATGCGTGATTAAATCCTCAAGATTGATCTTATTACATGAAATTTCAATAATTACTGAAATCTTATTTTTATTGTTTTCATTTCTGATGAACAACATTCTCATAATATCTCATATTTTTAAAAATTTATTATACATACATTTAAATTTGTAAAACTTTACGAAAAATATAATATTTCCAATTCTTTTAGCTTTCATGTTTTCTTTGAAATGAAATGGAATGAAGAATCTTATTTATTT